GGCATACATGTTTCACCCCAGCAGCTTCCTCCAGCTTGTCCTGGTGAAGCTGAAAGATCTAATTCTTCCATAATCTGCACCTTCCAGGCGGTCGTTTCTGAAAACCCACCGAGAGGGAAGCAGTCACTAAGAGCTCAAACACACCTCAGCTGGTTACCCTTAACACAAAGGAGCAGCAGCTCAATACAGAGGTTTTCCTGAATCCCTGAGCTCCTCGCGTTTTCACATAGAGAGAGACCGGCCAGCCTGCAGAGAAACCTCATCTCAGCTGCTTGAATCTTCAATCTCATTATTGCGGTCACTACCCAAAGCTCATAGCCATAGTTGAGCGTCAAAGCAAAGGCTGAGCAGAAAAATGAGAGCTTTGCTCAGCTCTCTCCTTACCACCACGCTCAGATACAAAGCCGGCGTTACTGCTGCTGATGCACCTAACCCATAGGCAGTCTTGTGCTCAAGTGTTCTTATCCTCACCACTATTATAGTTATTATTGGATATGTGGGAAGATCTGGCATCGGGCCAAGCAGTTGTGGATTATTTATCTCTTAGAGCACAATGTACACATTCATTTACCAGGGAGGAGAAAGTAATGTGCTGTCTTTAGTGAAGTAAAAATAAACAGTTCAGTTCAGTACTACTGAACTACTAGTGAGAATTCAATGATTAAAATCAACCAACTTAATGATGTACGTAGATATACTGTAGCTTTTATGATTGTATTCCTCTTAACCCCTTTCTATACTGTACCTTTGATATTGGAATATCTGCCACTATGGTGGACAGTGTCATTGAGTCTTAATACCGTTTGCCCTATAATTTGTGCTCTGTCTTTCCAGGTATCCTCCAGTTAGTGAGCTGGCTCCAGTTCGCACACCAGTGGGGACTATTCTAGCAGCTGCTATCAATCAAACCATCTTCTACTCCATTGTTGCAGGAAATGAACTAGGTACTACAGATTATATACAATACCACAACATAAGTAAATAAAGCATACAATTCACATCCTTAAGTGAATGTTTTTAACTTAAAAAAAAAAA